CACCATGGTGACCTCTGGACACAGGAGACTTAAGTGCTTCTTTCCCCAGCTGTTAGCTGTAGGGGGCTTCCCTACCAGCCTGCTGGAAGGGGAGGCCAAATACTCTGCAGCACCACTAAGAAGGCCAGGCAGATATATACCGTTGGGGGGACTGTCCCATATTGACATGCACAAGGAACTACACTGGACTGGTTGAGCATCCATGGTGCTTAAATAGTGAAGATGGGAGCATCCAGAGGAGATGGTCCCCAAGGTGGGGGGAATGTCTGGGGTGGGATGGGGTCCCTGATGCAGTGAAGGTTGGGGTATAAAGGAAATAGCCAGGCAGGGGTAGGGGTTGAGAGAGCTTCCCCCACAGTGCTGCCCCTCACCTAGAGACTTGGGACTGAGCCTCTTCCCCCCCCCCCGCCCCCCCCCGAATATAAACTGGGACATCCTTACAGCAGGTTATACTAGCCAGAGCAAAGTGAGAGGAGCTGAGGGTGACCCCACTTCCCAAGCTCTGGTACTGTGATACCACATCTCCCAGGGAGGGACTTTTCCCTATGTTGAGTGAAGGAGGGGAAGAGGCTCCAGGAAGGACAAAGTTACTATCGGTATCAGTAGCTTTATTGGGATGAGAAGATATTTTATTAAGCTAATCCAGTGAGCTTCTCTTGCTCTGTCTCAGGGCTGCAATCGTGGCAGGGTCTGTTTGACTGGAACTGGGAAGCAGTTCCTTTTGGTAAAAGCAAAAAGACCCCAATTCAGTCAGTCTGTGCCTGAGGAAGGGATTGCTTCTAGCTTTCAACGTTTGTTCTTCAGCCCTTGCTCTGTTTGTCCCTCTGTCCCTTCATCTGAATGACAGAAAATGAGAAATAAAGGGATTCTCCCCCCCCCCCCCCAGTCTGTCCCACATTCAGAGATCTTGTTCTAGGTTACTGGGGATTCCACCACCTCCCCGGGTATTACAGGGGTATAGAGTGTGACTCAGTCCTGAAGAAAAGCGTGGAGTTGGGGAACCTTACAAAGAGGCACCTACTCTTTTCTTTTCTTTTTCTTCCCACTCCCCTCCCTCTGTCTCTTGTTACCTGTGGCTGGCAGGCATGAATGCTGAAAGCTAGTGTTGTGCAATGTCCCTCTGCGGAAGGGTAAACCCCCAGTTTTCCAAAGCCAAGAAAAGAATTTCCTTGTCTCTAATTGCTCAGCAATATCAGTGGGTCTCCAAAGCTTTCCTGGTGGCATATTGCACTGCTCCATTCCCGCCTGCCAGCTCTGAGCAGTTTTTTAAAAAAAAGGCATTCCCTTGGATTGAGAATGAAACAAACACAATTTGAGACGTGCATTCTGGGCTCACATTTTGCCTGTTAACGTTGCAAAGGAAACAATCCCCCATTTTAACCAGCCTGTAACCTACATTTCCCTACAGTCAGATATTGTGTATCTAATAAAAACATGGGGTGGAATAAGGATATTGGGGGTGTATGTGTACATATTACACACTTAGAATTGTGTTTATCTAAAAAGAAATACAGAAGTGTACATAAATATGTCAGTATTTGTGTTGTAGATATTAATATCATTGTATGTATTGCCATATAGGCTCATTTAAATCTGTTTGTGTATTTGTTACATAAATCAATATACACACATGTATATAAATGATTATACATAACAAGTTGTAAATGATAGCAGAACTGCTGTTTAAGAAATCGCAGAAAACTTAAGTTATTCACACTCTTATGGTGAGTACCACCAAAGAGAAAAAATAGTTGAAGAACTTTCAAACAAAAATGTTGCGATATTGGGAGCTTTTAAAACCATGGTTGTATTTTAAACTATTTTTTAGGAGCTTCAGGCACTGTTTAAAAATCTAAGACAAGTTGTGTCCGTAAGTGCCTTTGTTTTACACAAAGCATTAAGAGAAAACTTGCAAAAATGAATGCATTTCTCTCTCCCCCCCCCCCCAGTTAAAAGGATTGTAATAGATTTTTTTCTTTTCCACAAAGTATAAATACTAGTAAAGTTTTAACAACAACAGCAACAAGTATGGTTCACAAATGAAAATAATTTTGAATCCATTGATTGTATTTTGTTCTACAGAACAAAAAGCTCTCCCTGCTTTTCTTGTTTGAAAAAAAAAATGTAAATATTTACTAATGTGAATAAACAGGGTTTGGGATTTTTTGTCTGTTTTTTATTTTTGCTTTTTTTGCTTTTCCCATATCCCCAACAAACCAAGTTTAATAACATTTGATAGTTTATTTTAAATGCAAAGTTTATTTCCAAAGTTCTCATCTAGTTTAGAGAGACACCAAGAGCAAAGCTTGTCCCATAAATGAAGCTAATTTAAAAACAAACTCTTTTTTTAGCTGTTGCACTATGCAAAAAAGAAATATTCTTGTTTGTAAATCTTTTAAGAAAAAAAGTCACACATCTATATTAAACCAGACTTCTAAAACCAAACAAAACTGAGTTTTTACACAGATCTTGAAGCTTTTTGTCATTCACTAGAGCAGTTGTTCAGAGAGGGAAAACTCACTGAATTTGGACACCAGTGCTACACAATACTGTAATGAGTTTTGTATGTATTTTGCAAACTGGTGAATGGGAATTTTGCCAGAGGAAGTACTGCAGGATTGGTCCCATATCATTATGTAGTTCTTGTGCACACACAAATATATGTGTAGATGCAAAACAAGGGAGAAACAGAATGATGACTATAAATGTCTGCTGAACCTATTAGACTTTTAAATGCATTTAAATTTACATTGTGTGTGTATATATATAAGGTGTGTGTTACATAAGTATTTATTGTACATAAAATATTCCTGGAGGAAGGGATGACGTCTTTTTGGACATTGGTCACCTGTTTTAGGGAGGAAATATTTATTCTGCTGCATTTAGATTTAGCAAAATATTTTTAATTATTAAATATTTCAAATTTTGAAAGCAGACACATTTATTTTGAAAGATACCACCAAGCAGATGGGAAAGCTGCCTCTGCATCTAACTTTGTAAAAAGTTGGAGCCTAGTGCTGAGTCACAATATGCAGTTGAAAGGTCTTGTGTTGAAATGGGGCTATGATGCCTTTTGCTGATTAATGAATCACAAATCTAACCCCCCCCCCCCACACACACACAAAGGGAGAAAGAAAGAAAGAATGAAAAATAGAAAATGTGTGAACTTTAGTGAGGGGGGAGGGGGGAAACTCAGAATTCAACCTCCCAGAAACCCCAGAACTCTCCTTTCATCAAAATATTTGCACTCACCCCCATCCATCCCATTCTGGTGTCTGTCGCCTGGTGAAATGCTTAGCAGGGTTAGTCACCTGCTGATGACTAAACCACTGCACGCGGCTTCCTTTCTCTCTTGTTTAGAGAAAACAATTAAAAAAAAATCAACAATCAACTGTATTTGGTTTCCCATGAAAGGTCAGCAGAAAGGGGGAAAAAAAATGAATGAACCAGTATAACTTTTCCAAGTCCCGCATCTGGCATTTGAGCTGGGGCAAGGGCAGAGGGCTGCCTTTGGACTTGTAGGGTTTTTTCTTATGGGCAAAACTTAAAAAAAAAAAATTCTGGAATGTGAGGAAGAGAGAGAAAGAGGAGAGAGGGGCTGAACATTATAGAAAGGAGAGGAGAGACGGAGACAGCTGCTGTCCAATATCTATCTATCTATCTCCTTCCTTTTTCCCTTCTTTCTGTTGTCTATGTATATTTCTCTCTGTCTCTTTCCTTCTTTCTTTCCATCTGTCTGTATCTTTCCTTCTTTCTCTCTCTCTCTCCATCTTTCTCTAACTGTGCCCTTCTCTCTCACTCACCGCCCCCCCTCATCTCTCTGACACTCCGACGTTTCTGACACAGGGTGGCACCGCATACTTACCTCACCCCCTCCTACTAAAACTTTCTTTTGTAGAAAAAAGAATAACCAATCTGCCTCTACCTCTCCTCCTCTCCCCCCTTTGCACCCCCCCCCCCCCCCCCCCAGGGACTGGTGTTTCAGCTTGTGGTTAAAGCTTTACACGACAGAAAAAAAAAAAGAGGGCTAAAGAATATCCTCATAAAAAAGAAAGAAAACCACACACCAACCCAAACCAAACCCTAAATGAGTGGGATTGGCAAATGGGATTATTAATCCTGGCCAAAAATAAAGGACCGCAGACTCTGTGCAGCCCCCTTGGAGAAAGGAAGCACTAAATCACAAACCTACCTTGAAGGGCTGCAAGTCCTGAGTGTAGCTTTGGCTTTACCAAATGGATTTCAGAGCAGGTAGGGAGACCTCTGCACCTTTCCCAACCTCCCCTTCTCCAAAGGGAAGCCAGCCCTCCCCCTCCTCCTTGCCTGCTGCGTCCCATCTCCCCTCCCCACCCAGCGCGCCCTCCACCCACAACTCTTTGGGAAACACTCTTTAATTTTTCGCAATCTCTTTCCACTCAATGCCACTAACAAAAGGTTTGCAACATCCAAAGATCTGGGGTGTGTGTGAAAGGGGTGGCATTCCCCCCTACCCTCTAAGATATATTTTTAAAATGTCTCTTTTTTTCCTCCTCCTCTTGCTTTCAGAAAAGCACGTCGCCCTTTAGTTCCATAGCTCCCTACCTTTGCCCAAAGCTGAAGAGCCAAGGGGGGGGAGGAGGGGAAAAAGAGAAAAATGAATGGAGCCTGCTCTTGTGTACAACTGCATCAAATACATTCTTGAAAGCAACCTGGTTCTGCTTAACACTTGAATTTAAAAAAAAAAAAAAAAAACAAAGCACCTTGGAGAGAGGGTGTATGCAATTTTTTTTATTCTTGCATTCCTGGACACCAATCAAAAGAGCAAATCAAGGGAGGTGGAAAGGGGGAGAGAGCGAGAGAGCATGTTTAAAACTTTGCGCACACACACACACACACCAAAAAAAATATCCGAGACAGCTTTTTCCACCTAACACCCAAGCAAACACAAACCAAAACAAATAGGGAAGAGGAAAAAGAGAGGGAGAGAGAGAGAGACACAGGGCAGAACGATCAGGGAGAAAGTGAGGCTTCGCCATTCGCTTGGGGCTTTGGGTTTAGAGTAATAACTAATCAAAAAGTTTGTTTTCTATTGAACAAATTCTGCAGCCTTCCTTCCCCCACCCCAACCCCACAATCTGAGTCTACTATGCTATATGTTTCTGGGGAGATTTCAGGTAAGACCGAAGCGTCTCTACTATTTTGGCAGGGGATGGGGGTGTAGGGGCGGGGGTCTTGCTGTGCGTGTCGTGTTTTTCTTTTCTGAACTGCTGCTGATTCTAATTTGATTTGATTAAAACGTCTGTCTGGCTTTGTGATTGATTTAAGACTTTCCCCCCCTTTTTTTTCTTTGCTTTCTCTCGTTCTGTCTTTTCCATGCATGTTTGTGATTACTGTGGGGGAAATGCCGCTTAGCACGGGGAATTAAAATCCAGGACTGACCGAGAGAAGAGGAAAATGAAAGTCACCAGGACTTAGAGCAGAAAATTTTTTTTTCTTCCTATGGCTTGATTTAAGCACTTACACCAAAAAAAGAGAAAGGGTTTAGTTGCTAAAATAGACTGCATTTTTTAATGGATATTGAAGCTAGGTTTCAGGGACACTGAGGAAATACCCTTCTTTGGAAGGCATGCACTCCCCCTTCAAAATTCTCCAGAGCTTTTCTTGGTTGTGAATGACTTTTTGTTTGTTTGTTAATCTTTGGAGTTTTAACATTTGAAACCTAGTTAGAAAAGTCCCTTTGTGAGGGAGCAAAAAATGTTTTCAAGGAAAGGAACAGCCCCAGAGCATGGAGGGTGTAATTTGTATAAGCAGTAGGGGTTTTGTGTTTTGCAGACTACACTGCAAGCTCTCTGGGAAAGAGGTTGCCATTAAAATAAAATAAAATTGTAAAAACAACCCTTAAAAGGTCAAAATCTTGACTTTCCTGGACTCGCTCTTTTGACAATTATGCTGTTAGGTTTGGTGCACAGGATGAGGTGAGATTCTCCTCCTTTGGATAGAGTCAGTTATTTGAAAAACAAAAAAATTTGTGTTCATTTTTTGTTCCAGACTGGAGGTGCTGGAGTGAGTCAGGAAGGGCATAGTGGGGAAAGTGAGGGAGAAGGGCCAGAAAGTGTGAGGACAGAAAGACTTACCGAACCTATCGCTGTATGGACAGACAGAGACAGAATGAAACCCCAGGGCAGGATTTGCCCTTCAGATCTCTGAGGACTAGAAATCTGAATTCTCCATGCACAATCCCCAGAAACATGTTGTCTGTCTGTCTGATCTGGAGCTGGCAAGGGCTGTTTCTTGGCCAAGAGTGCGGAACAACGAAAATCTCTGAGCGGATTAAGGAGGGACAGACAAGCTGAGAAATGGAAGAAGAACAATGTACAGAGGAAGGGGAGATGGAGAAGGGCAACTGTCTAGCAAAATCCAACCTGGTCCCCATCCCATTCTGTCTCCCCAAGTACATGATGCTGGGGGAAGTTGGATTTTCTGTCTTTGGGGAGAAGAGAAGGGAATGAGTCCTAGAATGAGCTGTGAAGCTCAGAGCTTCAAAGCCCCTCAGCTTTGTCACTCATCAGAAACACTTGGATCCTGACAGGAACCGATGTACCCAGCTCCTATTTGGCAGGCACTGCGAGGGCACAGCCCCTGCGCACATCTGGGCTGCATTAGCCACAAACCAAAAAAAGTCTCCAAAGGGAAATGCAAAGGGCTCTCCTTGTGGGACTGGCTTTGGGGAGGATTTATTCCCTGCTAAATGGCACATTTTTTCATAAATTAAAACCCTTCCCCACTGTACTTGCACCTACACTCACAAGGCAATTTTTCTCTCATACACACATGCACACACAGAGAGAGCTGCAGACACACACACTGGCACACACATGTACATACACCGGCACACACACACACCCATGCAAACTCCCCTACACACATCCTCTATATACACACACAGGAAAACTCTTTGACATACTCTTTGGTCCTGCTAGTGAAGGCAGGGGGCTGGACTCGATGACCTTTCAAGGTCCCTTCCAGTTCTAGGAGATAGGATATCTCCATTTATTTATTTATGTATGTATGTATGTATGTATACACGCACACACAGAGGTGCACGCACTGGCAAACTCTCTTACTCACACATACACCTATGCCAATATAAACACAGGCAAACAGATGGAAACACACCAACTCCAATCTGCATGCGAGGCGGGATCTGCAACAGCACAAACAGAAACTACAGTTTGCTTCTGCAGTTATTCAGCACCCATGCAAGTGCTAGTGTAGGCAGGGCTCTGACATTTTAGCACTATGTCACCAAGGTCTGTGTGTGTGCATGCCGTGCGCACGCATGCAGGTGCATGGCTTCAGGACACTGACCTGGAGAAGCTGGAGCCCTGACCACACTAGTGCTTGCTCCCTTGCTATCCCCAGGGCAGCTGCACTGAGGTTGACAACCAGACACTAAGTTTGCTCAAGGAGGAACCTACCCATCCCAGGCCTGACCTGTCCCCACTGAAATCAACAGCAAGACTGGTTTGCGAACTGGCTATGGGTGAGTGAGTAGAGGCACACGGCAGGGACAGAGCCAGCCCAATGAACCATCAGAGAGAAAAAAAGGACATTTTGTGAAGGGTCTAACTAGGGGAAATGCTTGAGAAATGGCTTAGAGAGCGCAGGTCCTGACCACTGTTAGAGTCTGGGTTCCAGCTGCACGGGCAGGTGGGCTAATCCAGACAGGCACATCTTATATGTCTGCACAACATGGTTGCCTGAGCACACATGCTGACATGCTCTCACTCGCACGCTCATGCACGTACAACACACTGACATGAGCATACACACTGACATGCTGCCACTTGCAAGCTCAGGCCTGCACACACACTCGCATAAGCACACATGCTGACATGCCCATGCCCACATATACCTGCTTGCAATACGCACATGGTCCCAACTCACAATGCACATGCTTGTGCTCACATGCTCACATTTGCATGCTCATTCATGCGCACATGCTGACATACTCCCACTCATACACTCATGCATGTGCATACATGCTGACATGCTCCCCCTTGCATTCTTATCCATGCACACACGCTGGCATGTTCCCACTCATACACTTATGTATGTACACACACGCTCACATGACCACACGGGCTGACGTCTCCCCACTCATGCATGTGCACACACTAACATGAGCACACACGGTCACATTTGCATGCTCATGCATGTGCACATGTACTCACGTGAGTGCAGATGCTTGCATGCATTCACACACAAGCACGCACACACACCTGAATGTCCAGACACACTCCCCTGCTCATGGATGTACATCTTCACATGTGCATACTCGCATGCTCACACAAGCACACGTTGACATACACTCACATGTTTATGCGCACACACACACAGAGGCAAATATTTCCTGTACTTACTGTCTGAAACACTTGGCTTAGCTTTGCCGCTAGCAGCATGGAGATTAGGGGATACTAGGGTTATGTCTACACTGCAGGGTGTACCTGGGTCTGGGTTTGCCAAGCCCACTTGCATTTGTCCACACCGCAGAGCTGCACTCGCCCCATTCCTGGGTAGCCATGTCCACATTGGCACGGCAGTTACACATGTTTGGCACTAGGATTTCTGTGATATATCACAGGGTTCTTTGTGCCTCATTAACTCAAGCCACTTTAGGAATTGGTTTGTGGTGTATTGTGAGCTTCTCTTCACATATAGGAGGATCCTGTCTTCACTGCAGAGTTAACTCAAGTCCCATCCACACACAAAAGTGCTTCACTGAGTTTGGTGGTGCTTTCAGCTTAAGCGGCCTGACCAGTCAGGGAGTCTAGGTTACACTCGAGTTAGTCCAACTTGTCAGCTGCTAACATGACCACTCTGCAACTGGGATGTTATTTTGCAACCTAGCTGTTCTCACTTGAACTAGGCTAACTCAAGAGGAGTTCACTCCAGAGGAGATAACTGTGGTTAATTCTGCAGTGAAGACATAGCCAGGTTAGTTTACTGCTGGCAGAGGAGGTATGGGGGACACAATGGTTTCTGTGGTTGGCTTGTTTGCTAAATTCCTCTGCATGGTTTTCTCCCCTCCTCTCTCATCCTCAGGCTGGCATATGAAGCAGGGAATATGCCCTAATGTTTGAGTCAGAACAGCTGGGTTGTGTTCTATTTATTCACTGTGCCCTAGAGCAGGTCTCCTCCCCTCTCTGGGTCTCAGTGTCACCCTGTGAAGATAGTGAACTTGGCACAGGGCAGCTGGGAGGCTTTGGCCCTGTGTGTGAGCAATTTGAGTTCCTCAGGTGCTAGGTATGGGTAGAGAGTTGGTGAGTCTTAGCTGGGGAAGTCTGGTAGCCTTTCTCAGGAGGATCCCATTGATTCATGGCATGGGGGCATGATCTGAGCTGGCCTGGTTGCTCGGCTCCCTTTCCCTTGGTATCATCACTGTCTTTTCCCCTCCACTCTGACCTTTGCAGGGGAATCTACCGCAGCGTTGTCTGGGTTCAGGCCTGGCCCATATGTTTCAGGGCCATCAAGGGATGCTGCAGGCACTGGCCTGGGATCTGCCCAAGGGGCAGGTTAAACATGAGCAGCTTGGATTGAGCATGGGCCATGCTGAGGAAGGGAATGAGGGCAAAGTCTCTGAATGTTGAGGTGCAGGCTGCAGAGGAAGAGAAATATTGCCAGCAATGGTTTATTATCGTAGTGTAGGCAAGGCATATGAATGTGTGCATGTGCATCTGTGACTCAGTGTGTGGGTGTGTGTCTCAATCAGCTTGTGTGTGTGTGTCTCTCTGCCACTTGTATGTGTCTCAATCACAGTTTGTGTGTGTTTGTGTCTGTGTCTCTCAGTGTGTGTGTGGGGAGTGGGGGGAGAGAGAGCGAGAGCTGGGAAGTGCCTTTCCCCAGGCTCACGGGTCTGGATGGAATTAGGGGCCTGCGCACCCATGTTAAACAAGTTTGTTTCCATCATGCTCCTGGCTGGAGCCGGTGATGGGAAATCCAGGCCCAGCTAATTACAGGCCTCGCTGGAGTCTCCCGTGCTCTGATATATTTATAAACATATAGAGGAGACAGGATGTAAACAATCAGTGTGAGCGGGCTCCAAATGTATCGACGGGGGTGTGTGCGAGACAGAGGGGGGGGACGTGAGGCACAGGGGAGAAGAGGGAAAGGA